CCTTCGCTCCGATTCAATATGGCCGGAGGAGAAAAAATGCGTCCGGGTTCAAGTCTAATGTTGATGAACATGGAAGGCTACAGGTTCGTTTCCCAAAGAGCCTCGCAAGTGGGTTCGCATTTATCTATGTAAAAGGGGATATGCATATAGAGATAAGGGCAAACGCACTCACTAACATGCACAACCACACACACACACACACACACACACACACACCACACACACACACAACACACACACACACACACACACATATATATATATATATATATATATATATATATATATATATATATAATATATATATATTATATTATATATATCACATACCCACACACATACCACTCACTCACTCACTCACACACACACACACCACTCAAAACACACGTACATATTCACATACGCTCACACCATTCACACACACACACACACTCACCCACACACTCACACACAGTAGCATCGCCACTACAGGATAAAATCAATAGCCCGCCCACTCCACACGACTGGCATTCTCCCACCCACCCATCCTTCACCCCCTTCCACTCCACCCCCCCGCCCCCCGTTCCTATACCTTTCGTCTCTCCTTTCTGCCTTTTTATCTCCTCTCATCTCGGCTTTTCTACTTATTTCCTTTTTTTTTAATCTCTTTTTCTCTATTTTTTTTTAGCTTTTGATCTAACTTCAGCGTCTTCCTTTCTGTCTAATTATGTTTTTGTGTTGTGTGTGTTGTGTGTGTGTGTGTGTGTGTGTGTGGTGTGTGTGTGTGTGTGTGTGTGTGTGTGTGTGTGTGTGTGTGTGTGTGTTGTGTGTGTGTGGTGTGTGTGTGTGTGCGTGCGTGCGTGGCGTGCGTGCGTGTCCCACGATAATTTCTAAGATGTAAACCCCTGTCTCCATAACCTTGTCTAAAGTTCCTCTCTATCTCTCCGCCTGTCCCTTTGTCACTCTGTCCCTCTCTTCCCCTTTCTCCAATTCTCTCTCCTTCCTCCCTCTCCAGCTCTAAGACCCCGCACGAGCTTCCCTCGGAGATCCATGCAGTCGTTCCTAATTGAAATGACTTTCCTCCCCGGCCGCGCACGCTGCTTCCGCTCTGAGCCACAAGCAGAGAGCAGAGGTACCCGGCCACGCTTCTCGCCTCGGGAAGCAGCAGCAGCAGCAGCAACGTTCATAACTTTCCCCAAGTCCTTTTCCCGGGCTTTCCGACCGTTCGCTTCACCTTATGTTTTCCCCTTTGACCTTTAATGTTCCCCTTTGACCTTTCCCCTAATGCTTCCCCTTTGACCTTTCCCCCCCCCTTTCCCTAATGTGACCTTGTTTCCCCCTAATGCTTCCCCTTTGACCTTTCCCCCAGGGTTTTCCCAACGTTCGCCGTGCCTTGTAGGTCTCCCTATAACCCCTATTCCTTGCGCTCGACTAACTTCATCCACAACACCTTATACAAGTCCCTGCGACCTTTCTCTAGACTTTTCCTAGCGGCAGTCTCCTCGCCTTGTATAGCTCCCTATGACCTTTCCCCAGTTCTTCCCTACTGGTAACCTCGCCCGCCGTCCGACGACCCTAGAAATCCCCCTGTCCCCGCCCTGGATGTTCCCTAGGTTCGCCTAGCTCTACACGCGACGCCTTATCTTCGCCCAGGTGACCTTTCCCCATTTCCCTATCGTCCGTCTCGTCTCATGTATACGAGGCTACAACATATGAGGCTCCCGCTGTTGGTCTGCCACATAGTACCTGATAATCCAGGGCCTGCTCGCTTTCTTTCTCACGCTCGTATGCGACTTATTTCCCTCGTCGCTTGTCAGCTGTTTTTTTGCTCCGCTAATGTTTACGCGTTTACTGGCAGCACATGAAGCCACATAGGCTCTCGCTTATGTGGGGCTTATGTAGAGTATAAATGTGCTGTGTGTCATTGTGTGTTAGTGTGTGCATGTGCGTGCGCCTCGATTAGTGCGCGTGCGTGAGCGAACGTCGCTTCCGATTTGCCGTCCACGAGCGCGCAGAGTTTTGTGGGAACCCAAAGATATAACGAGATTACACTTAGGCCTGGGAGGAGGTGAGGCGAGGTGAGGCGAGGGAAGGTGAGGCGAGGGGGGAGAGGATTGCGACTCGGCAGAACATGACATAACAAAGAGTAGACGTGTTTGTCCCTCCTGAAAATAACATCTATTTAAAGACATGCCGTGTCAACTTTTTCCCCCGTGGAAGAGACACTCCGGGCTCTGCAGGAGAACTCCAGATTCTAGATATCTAAATTCCCTTCCTATTTCAAAAAATACATACGCACAGACACAGACAGAGACACACACACACGTACACATTCCCACACTCACTTTCCGGCACGCTCACTTTCAC